CTTTGCCATTGGCCAACACTGAAGAACATCATGCTAGAAGAAACTGCAGATACTTTGAGTTATAATTTGGCATAAGTCACGATCCCTACATTTTTCTGTTGTTCATGAGCAGCTGTTGTGGTATGGTGTCCGACTTGCTATAGTATGATTACTCAAGTATTTATCATTTAATTATTTGTATAAACTTTAAGCAACAAGAAAATGACTTACATTATCAGTTTTGCTCGAATCATGAAGCTGAAATGAACCAAATACAGTGCTAAAGCTAAGCTGAAAGACATTAAAATAGTTTACATCATTGAGAGATAGCTGGTTTAATAATATATATATATATATATATATATATATATATATATATTATATATATATATATATATATATATATATATATATATATATATATATATATATATATATATATATATATATATATAAAAAAAAAAAAAAACTGTTTTCTCACCCCTCGTGGGGTGGTATGTGTATTCCTCAAGCTCGGGTCCTCTACCAGAGGCCTGGGAGTTTGAGGGTTCTGCGCAGTATCTTAGCTGTTCCTAGGACTGCGCTCTTCTGGACAGAGACCTCTGATGTTTTACCTGGAATCTGCTGTAGCCACTCTCCCAGTTTGGGGGTCACAGCCCCTAGTGCTCCAATTACCACTGGCACCACTGCTGCTCTTACTTTCCACATCTTTTCTAGCTCCTCCTTCAGTCCTTGGTATTTCTCAAGCTTCTCGTGTTCTTTCTTCTTGATGTTGCTGTCGCTTGGGATTGCCACATCTATCACTACTGCCTTCTTCTGCTGTTTGTCGATCAACACGATGTCTGGTTGGTTAGCCATCACCTGTTTGTCAGTCTGGATCTTGAAGTCCCATAGGATCTTAGCTCGGTCATTCTCAACTACCTTAGGAGGTGTCTTCCATTTTGACCTTGGGACTTCCAGCCCATACTCATGGCAGATGTTCCTGTACACTATGACAGCTACCTGGTTGTGGCGTTCCATGTATGCACTTCCTGCCTGCATTTTACACCCCGCTGTTATGTGCTGTATTGTTTCAGGGGCATCTTTGCACAGTCTGCATCGGGGGTCCTGCCTGGAGTGGTAGACCCTGGCCTCTATTGATCTTGTACTGAGTGCCTGTTCTTGTGCTGCCATGATTAGTGCCTCTGTGCTGTCCTTCAGTCCAGCCTTTTCCAGCCACTGGTAGGATTTTTTGATGTCAGCCACTTCTTCTATTTGTCTGTGGTATACGCCGTGCAGCGGCTTGTCCCTCCATGATGGTTCTCCTTCCTCTTTCTTGTCCTCACTTTCGGTTTTCTCCTGCCTGAGGTACTCACCAAGCCATTTGTCTTTGGGGGCCATCTTTCTGATGTACTCCTGGATCTTAGTTGTTTCATCCTGGACAGTGGTCTTGACACTCACTAGCCCTCGGCCTCCCTCGCTACGCTTGGTGTACAGTCTCAGAGTGCTGGATTTGGGGTGGAACCCTCCATGCATTGTGAGGAGCTTTCTCGTCTTGATGTCAGTAGCCTCTATCTCCTCCTTTGGCCAGTTTATTATGCCAGCGGGGTATCTGATGACTGGTAGGGCATATGTGTTGATGGCTTGGATCTTGTTTTTCCCATTCAGCTGACTTTTCAGGACCTGCCTTACTCTTTGTAGGTATTTAGCTGTGGCAGTCTTTCTTGCCATCTCCTCGTGGTTTCCGTTAGCCTGTGGCACCCCAAGGTATTTGTAGCTGTCCTGAACATCTGTTATGAGGCCTTCTGGTAGTTCAACCCCCTCGGTTCTGATCATCTTCCCTCTCTTTGAGACCATGCGACCGCACTTGTCCAGTCCGAATGACATCCCAATGTCGTTGCTGTAGATCCTGGTAGTGTGGATCAGTGAGTCGATGTCTCGCTCACTCCTGGCATACAGCCTGATGTCATCCATGTAGAGGAGGTGACTGATGATTGTTCCGCTTCGGAATTGGTATCCGTAGCCAGTCTTTGTGATGATCTGGCTGAGGGGGTTAAGGCCTATGCAGAACAGCAGCGGGGATAGTGCATCGCCTTGGTATATGCTGCACTTGATGGTGACTTGTGCTATTGGCTTTGCATTGGCTTCCAGACTTGTTTTCCACAGCTTCATTGAGTTCTTGATGAAGGCTATTAGAGTCCTGTTGATCTTGTACATTTCCAGGCATTCCAGTATCCATGTATGTGGCATTGAGTCATAGGCTTTCTTATAGTCAATCCAGGCAGTGCACAGATTTGTCTGCCTGGTCTTACAGTCTCGGGTGACTGCTCTATCCACTAGTAGCTGGTGCTTGGCTCCTCTGGTGTTGCTTCCTATTCCCTTCTGGGCAGGGTGCATGTATTGAGCCATGTGCCTATTCATCTTAGCCGCTATGATGCCTGACAGGAGCTTCCATGTTGTACATAGGCAAGTTATTGGCCGGTAGTTGGATGGGGTTGTTCCCTTCTGCGGATCCTTCATGATCAGGATTGTCCGTCCTTGGGTTAGCCATTCTGGGTGGGTCCCATCCATCAGCAGTTGGTTCATTTGTGCTGCGAGGCGTGCATGAAGTGCGGTTAGTTTTTTCAGCCAGTAGGTGTGGATCATGTCAGGGCCTGGTGCTGTCCAGCTCTTCATAACTGCCGCTCTTTCTCGGACATCTGCCGTTGTAATGGTTACTGGTTCTTGTTCTGGGAGATTGCTGTGATCTGTTCTTAGATCTTCCAGCCACTGAGCATTGGTGTTGTGGGATGCCATCTTCTCCCATATGTTTCTCCAGTACTGTTCAGTCTCAGCCCTGGGTGGATGTGATCTTGAATTACCCTGCCACTGTGAGTACACTTTGGATGGGTTGGTGGAGAACACCTGGTTTATTCTCCTATATATATATATATATATATATATATATATATAGTTTTACTAACTAATGTAAAACATGATACTTATTCCTTACCTCTGAATTTTCCAACTGTGTACCAAAATATAAACCAATAATAATAAAACAAATATGAAAGGATGCTGAAAAGTTGTTTGGAGTAACCTCTGTAGGGACAAAGATTAGTTTACAGAGCTAAACCTTGAAACTGTGATCTTTGGGTCTTACTTCATGATTAAATGTAGATTTAATGAGCTTAGTATGACTTCAGGTGCTATTAGCTAAGCTTTTATACAAGCTGACATATTAACCTGTCATTCAGTAGTTTTAATGAAATAAAAAAACAACAGAGATTAATCTAACAGACTATATGTTCAGTGATTTTATAATAAACACATTGCTTTGTACATTCATTAACAAAACAGGCTGTTTTATTTGTTTGACATCTAGTGTGAAAACTCTTTTTAATCACAAAAAGGAAGAAGTGAAAGTCGGGCAGGGCAGTTTTTTTCTAAACACCATAGCTTGGACCTTTCCACTTACAGGCAAACATCACAGTTCTGCATCACAGGGATGACTAGGAAAAAAGGTAAGGCTTATCATAAGCACATAAAAATATTACGGCACCTTCCTGAGTCTTCAAGCGGTGTGAGGTGAAGGAGCTTCGGCAATTACACTCATGCATGTGTTAATATGCTTAATTAGCATGAATAAACACTTTCCTATGACACAGGCTACATTGAGAGCCACACACCTGCTGAAGCTCTGATAAAAGACAACGCCTCATGGCAAAGTGCTTTTTCATGAGACCTGCTAATTGGCATGTGAAAACGGTCTGACTAATTAGGAGAAGGCAGATGATGCTTGATTAGTTTGAATGCAAAGTGTAACTTGTGGTGTGCTGAGACTCAGGAGTGTGTCGAGGTTTTATTCCTTAACCATCACGATACAAAGATAATTGTAATTGTGATCATTTGCATACGTTAATGAATTTGCTTGACGCTTCTTGATCAGACGTGGAATAAATAATTGATGCAGCATCAGCTTAGACCATAGCAAGTGGGACGGTTTGAAATAGCTAAGCGCATTAGAGGTAGCTTGATGGCACCCAGGCAAGGTGTGAAAGTAGAGCAGATGCTATCACTTGTTTCCTGCTCACAGCGTTCTTGACTGCTGCTGCTATCACATAAAAAAATTAGCTAACAACCTTAAATGGGATGCTGAGGGTTTAACATCTGAACCCAACTTTTAAAAAGCACCAGAGGTCAAATTAAATTGATGCAGCTCAAAAAAATGGGGTTTCCAGAAGTCATGCAGTGTGGCACAGACCAAAGGCACTATGCTAGGAAACAAGCCAGCCTGTATGGCAGCTCTAATTGAAACAAGATTAAAAAGTAAATACATTAGATTGTTTTAAATGCCCGTGATGTTAAGGGGGGGCACTCCCCTTTAATTAGTACTCTTTCCGATTAAGCTTTATTAGAGTGAGCCAGCCAGTCAGCCACAAAGCATATGCCCCACGTTTAGGCTCCAAGGAGCTAAAGTAGCACAGATACAGGGCTCATGCTTAATTGTTTCTGTAAATGGTCAGAGCCCAAGCCCCCTAAATCCATTCCTCGGGGTAATCAGGCATGTTTTCACCATACAGGGCTAAAGAAGGAGAGAGAGAGAAGACAGCGAGAAAAAAAAACATGCCAGGTACCATGCAACACTATGCGTCACTAATGCTGCAATGACCTCGAGTTGCTTTGTGACATTTTACAGAAACGTTGTTTTAATAGGATTTAGTTTTGATACCCACACACTCTACCCCATCACTCATAATTACATAACTCAGGCATCTGATCAAGAAACTGTATATTAGAAAAAAAAAAAACAATCAAACCATCGAGTTCAAGCGTGGATGATGAGCTGTTAAACATGAACACAGCCCTGCATTATTAGATAATTGAATGGCTCTCTGTAACTAATCATTTTCAGGTATTGACATCTTAGATGCTATTATCAGTGTCTGGATCTCATGATTAGTAAGAAAGGTTTTTAAAAGAAACAAATGAGAAAAACAAAACAAAATTCAGTTCAAATCAGTCTATTAAATTTCAGCAGTGGTGTCTTCAGTTCATACTGCTTTTTTTTTTTTTTGAGTCACCATTGTCCTCCAAGTTTGCTCAGTCTTGTAAGGGAAGTTTTTTGCCATTGCAGTTCACATACAGTCTGAAGCCTTTGCACAGGCTGCTGCTTACATTGAGTGCGAACAGAGTGGGTATCCTGGTATAGAAAACCTCTGAAATAGCAAGGGAAGAGTATCCTTAGAATAAACTGGAGCCTCGCTGAGAAAAGTGAAATTGAAGGGCAGTAATAAGGCTTCAATACAACAACTATAACAACAGCAAAAATAGCAGTCGAGGAATAATACAGAGTGGAGGTGAAGCTGGGAAACTCAGGACTCTTCCCACTTAACATACCTGTAGATGAGAGAGGAAAAAGAAGGAGCTAGATTTAGAAAAAGGATCAGTGCTACAACACATGCAGTACTTTAAATCTTTATAGCTCTTTGATTGGAAAGTCAATAAATATAACGAAAAAAAACCACAGCTGAATCCTAAAAGAAAAAGGCAAACTAAATTTGAGAAAACTAATTTAAAAGTAAATCTGAAGCTCAAGGCATGACTATGTACACACATTGCCTTTAAAGCAGTTTCCAAGAAACTTTAGTAACCAAGTATTCTGATTTCTAACTTTAATATTCACTTCATCACATTCCCAATTGTGTACCCTCTGCATCTATTTTATCCATATTTTCCATGATTTGTTACTTTAAAGAAACCATTTTCTAAGCACCTAATGTTTGGAACGTTTTAGATTATTTTTCAGGCCCTCTGACTTAAATGAACCATGATTAAACCAAAGATTAGCATAGGAACATGTGTGATGTACCAGCTTTCAGACAAGAAAAATGAAGTGCAATAAAAACACTAAATACTGTAGATCAAAATGCCAAAAGGGACATATGACCAGCAAACCATATTTACAAATAAAGGCTTTCTTTTTAGCTAAACAGCAACATTATGTCAGATTGTAACAGTGTTTACTTTTGTCTTGTTTGTCTTGAAATATATGATTTGAAGAATGCATAGCAGTAAAGTGTCATTTTTTTCTAGCTTTTCTGGTTTTATTTTGCAAAGTTATTTATTATTTATTTTTTATTCCCGGTTAATTGTAAAAACTTGCAGTTGACTGACTATTTTTTGCTAACAATTAATTTGTTTCTTTTCCTTTTCTCTTGATGCATGGTTCTGGAAAATGATCTCAACAACCCTTTTATTTACCTTCTGGTCTGTCAGCACGGAGCTGCTCTGAAGTGGAGCCAGGTGGCTGTTGTGCAAAGCAGTGGCGGGCCTGTCATGTTCGCAGAAGATTGTACCATTGATGTAATGGAAGCGATCCCCGGGAATTAGTCTGTTTCTACAGGTGGCACAGCTGAAACACTGCAGGGGAGTAGAATAAAACAAAGCCCATGAATGACTAAAAATATCAGCAGCATGGTCTATAAACTAACCTTCATTAGGTTTTTACTTTAATTAAAACCAACTGGCTAAGTTTCACATAGATAGCGAGAACACCCAAGTCAGACATCAATAGATGGTCAATAAAACATTTTAAGAAAGACTGCCTAAAACTTAGACTTTCTGGGGGAAAAGGAGCTCCTTTTGTGTTCATACTAAATATGTCTGCTACATAGTACTGATTGGGTTATACCTTAATGTGGTAGACATTCCCCTGTGCCCTCATCACCATCTCGTTTGCTGGGATTGGTTGGCCACATGCGCTGCATGCCCCAAAGAGCCTGAAGACAGAAAAACAAGCAATGCTTTGCTCAGCCTATACCACTGATTAATCAACCATAATAGGCAGCATCGGTTCCTCTGCCGCCTTCTACACCTCCTCACTTGATGTAGTCACTGCGACACAGAATCATGCCCCCTTTGCTGTAGCAGGTGGTGCCGATGTCCCCCAGCTGGGCCTGGCAGCAGGAACATTTGAGGCAGCGTGTGTGCCAGTAGCGCTCCATAGAGAAGAGCAGAAAGCGGTCAGCGATCTTCCCCCCACATCCAGCACAGGACCCGGGTGCTGGTGGTACACCGGATGCTTGGTTGCTCACCATCCTGACGGGGGCCCCCAGGCTCCTGGAAGGAGAGGCAAGAGTTCAAACATGTTTTGATTTGGGGAATTTCTTCAACTGACAGCTAGTATTAAGGCATTAACATTACATTATTAAAGCTTTAACATTACCATGTTCCATAAGACTGGCATCCCACTTGTGACAAGTTCACCTAAACTTTACATACTGGTACAGCTTTGGGTACTTGGTGTTATATTAAATGGGAAAGGATGCTATGCAAAGAAAAGATACAGAACAATGGATTGTTTGTATTCTCATTTTATGATACCTATTTGTAGCTATGAAATGTAGGAAAAATGTACAGAAATGTTGAAGCTAAATGGAGCGCGAGCTCACAGAAAAGGCTGTTGCCATAAGGCTGCACGCTGGAATGCGCGCGAGGACTGAAAGCAAGAAAGAGACGCGTTACCTTATTAGGACAAAGCGTTTCCTCCTTCGGTCACAACTTTACAAAGAAAAGTATTCAGAGAGCTCTTGGTACAGTCAAAGGTACGGCGCTCTTAAATACCAAATCCACTGCATCCATTAAAAAAGGTTTAAAAGGTAAAAAAATAAAATAAAAATTTATGTGTCAATAAATATATATATAAAAGCACAAGACGGCGGCGTTAAATGCAGGACAGCACTGCTGCCAGGGTACAGCTTCTCCTCGGCAATCGGCTCTGCCGACTAGAAGTAGATGCGTGGAGGAACCATCCCGGTGCTTTCTCCTCTGTTACAGCTGTCTGTCTTCAACAGGCTGCTCCCTTCAGCGCATCTGACAGCGACTCGATTCATCAAATTACGAAAGGGGCTGTTTAAAGTACCAAGAGGAGGAGATCGGGGGAACGCCGCAGCCAATGAGAAGTCCGGAGGCGTGTCTCGAGTAGAAACGGTTTATTGGCTTATAGTAGCCCATTGCTATATGTAGATTTCAGGGGCGGATTTAGGAAATTTAGAGCTCTAGGCAAAGACAGGCAGGGGGGCCCTATGAATTGAGAAGACAACACATAAAACAGACCAATTATACAGATAAAGAAATCATAATAGAATTAAATTTGACGTAGATGAATATATTATTTATCTACGTTTTGTCCCTCTCTTCTTGTCCCTTTCTTCTTGTTTTCCTCTCTATGTTTTGTACTCTTTTTTTCTACTCTGACTTTTTATGCTGTCTCAAAAGGAATTAAATATTTTTTTCCAAGCACTAAACTCACTTAGCTGATTGCTCCTTCCTGTGTTTCCAAAAAGGCGACGGCAAAAGTAAATAACCCAGTCCTTCTTTTCACTGTAGACACGCCATGATCTGCTTATCTGTTCTCCATTTTTCATTTGGATGAAATAATAGCTGCATGAATCATGACAGCAGACAAGATAGAGGAGAGCAGGAGGTGGGGTTACCAATCAGGGGTTGACGTTAAGGATTCGGGCAAAGTGGATTTCACATTTCATTTGCCCAGAAACACTTTTTACTTGCCCAGTATAATGTTTGATAAATATAGTTCCTTATATTAATTTTTTTGTATATATATATAAATGAAACACGTTTGTTTTTAGAAAATGTTTTTGTAATTCAGTAAGTTTACAGGTTCCTGGTGTGTATATGCATGCGTCAGATAATGAACTCAAGCCTACATTACCGTGTTAACATGCTTCTCAATCCTTTCTGCACATTCTTTTCAAACTAAACTTTGCTTTAAACTGTTGTGTGCTTGGAAAAAAAAAAAAAAACTTAACATGTTTAGCTCTATAACATTTAAATACACCACTCCAATGTCCAAGAGAAAAAAATTTTATGAAAATTTTTTAATGTATGACCTGCATCACTGTACAGAATACTGCCATATGATAGAAATATTTACACTGTGCGCTACAATTATTATTATTTTCCTAATCCCTGACTGATCATTTTTAATCTAGCGTGTATTATAGTATAGATTAAATTCATCATCCAGCTGCTGCTCTGCAGAATTCTCTCCCCAAGAGCTGAATCACACCATCTAGCGGAAAATCACGCGGCTTTTTCGAAACACGTGAGAATGTGTACAAAACAACAAAAATGTCGCCGGCAACCCTTGTGGGTCGTTTTCAGCGAATGTCGGTGATTTTAAAGTAATTTTGAGTGATAAATAATTTTTTTTTGTGATCATTGCACTTGCCCTGCGGGCAAATGCAATTTGTACTCTCCCAACAATAAAAACTACTTGCCCCCAGGCGATCGGGCAATGGTTAGCATCGAGCCCTGCCAATCTCCTTGCTCTGGAGAGCAGAGATTGGTGCTTTTATATGTTGTTGCTAAAGTCTCCATCATTCAAAGTCTCCAGCAGAAAAAAGCGGGGATTTGGTGCTAGGCGCTTTTTTGAAATAAAAGTGCTAGAGGGTAGAGAGCTAAATATAGCGAAAAAAGCGCTAAGGTTGCAACACTGCTCTTCGCATCATTTGTTTTCAAATGGTTTGCTGCTGTCTGTTTGGACTTTTCTGAACATGTGCAGCAAATGGACAGATCCAATGTGGTGGACACTGAAAGGGGGGGGGTGAGATATATCTAATATTATAAGCATTCTGATTGCATTTTAACGAAAGGATTTTTATCAAAAACATAATTAAGGTGCACAAATAAGGAATAGTTGTATTAATTAACCTTACATATAAACAGAGTTTTATGGGGGCCCAGGAACTTGGGGAACTGCCCAGTGTTGCCTAATGGTAACCCCCCTGGTCCATTTAAAACATAAACTGAGCTCCCAGATGATGTTACTCAGACATCTACTCATTCTTATCTGTATGGCAGGACAAGATCGGAGGACATGTTAGAAATGTCTTGAATGTTTGACAGAATCGTCCCAATTCTAAAACAGGTAAGTGAAATGTTTTTTATTTTGTTTTATTCATATCATTTCAAAAGTTTTGTAGAAGTTAAGCTACTTCAAATGCAGATGACATATTCTTGATAGCAGGAAGGAAATTCCCAATTTAATATATTTTATTAATCCTAGTTTTAACTTTATTTAGATATCCATCCATCCAAACACTTTGCAAAGCCCCTTTTATCATGTGTTTTTTTAAATCACGAAAACATTTAGGAAGTGCTGGATAGAATTCCCCGGATTCTATGCAGCTCAGTTCTTCTTTTGCAGCACCCACTTACTACGACAAACAACAACCAAAAAAACAAAGAAACAAAAACAAAACAATTAAAAGAACACCTTTTTATCATCTGTGACTATAAAGCAAAACACAGAGAACAATCAGTGGTTACCTAGACTGAGCTGTGCTATTTGGTTGTCCTGCATGTACATATAACTTTTTCGTAACTAGTTTTTCAGTTTGACTTATCACTTGACTAATTACATTGTTTTTAGGTAAAAAGTTTGAATTGCTCCAACAAACTTAAGGTGTAATGCTGCTTCTTAATGGATGTATTCTCTAAAAGCCTTTGATTTAAGGTGGAACAACATTTTAAGCTTTTTAGTTTCCTAAGCTCCTTCAGGTTTATCCCCCTGTAAACCTGATGTGTACAATATTATGGTTACTATACATCAAAGCTAAAAAAAAAAAAAAAGTTTCCCTGCATTCCTGTAAAGTTGAGGAATATTTTATCAGCTTTTAAGATTTTGGAAATCGCAAAGAAAACTATCCTCATGAATTGGAAAAGTAAGGAAAAACTTTTTTTGGATCATATTATTCTTGAGACAGCATCTGCATTCCCATCAGACAGATCTCTCTGGGCTCCCTTTACTTACTTAGTGAGGAGCTGTGGGGCGCATCCTACAGGGCGCGGGGGCTGGTTCGGGGGTCCTTGGGGGCTCTGGAGAGGCGCTCGGAGTGGGGTGCCTGGCGGGTCTTACCCCAGGGTCTGTCTCAGGTGGGGCACAGTTGGCTCCCCCCACCCCCTCTCGCATTCAGACATTGAGGGTTCTGGGTTGTCAATTGATGGGGGTGTACCGCCTGTCTTCCAGATGGGGGTTGGACTGTGCCAGACACCCCCTTTTGGTACTCCAAGTTTTAATTACACCTGAGAGCAACACACAACAACGTTACATCTGAGCAGGTGTAGGGAAGATCAGGGTCTTCTCAGACCCGTTTTCTAGGTAGCTGCTCACAGGGTTCTGTATTAAAACACCTTAATAGAGGTGAAGGGAAGGCCAAACGGTTGTAGAAAAGGTGTAAAACCAGTAGGGATAGCTGCACCCTGAAGAGGAGTGTGAAATAAATCATCATTCTTCAAGAACCTTCATGCAAAGATGTATGCAAGACATGGCTTTCAGCTGTTGAGTATAGGATTTCCTAAAAGCGCGTTCACGAGTCTACGGAAACTGCGGCAGACCAAACCAGACGAAAGTGCGCATTCAGCGTCTGCTCTGCCGATAATGCAAGCGTAGAAGAAGAAATGTGCTGTTTACCTGTGCAAAGAAAGAAACAACGAAAGAAAAATGTCTGAGGACTTCAGTGTTGAAGGAGAGCATGAGTTCTTTGCCGAGCTGAATGCGCACTTTCGTCTGGTTTGGTCTGTCGCGGTTTCCGTAGACTCGTGAACGCGCTTTTAGGAAATCCTATACACTACTGTTTATGCTCTAAAAACGTTCTAAATGACTTCGTTTCGAGTAAATTATGGACGCTACCCACTCAGGACACTTGGAATACATTGGACGAGCAGTATGGAGGAATATGGACACGTTTTTTGAGGACTTTTATGGACCTTTCTGCCTCGGGCACCATAGACCTCCATTATTTGAATGTCAGCGAACAGCAAGAAGCCTCCCAGATCTCCAGATGCATTTCAGATATCAAAAAAGTACTCCAGAGTGTTGTTCAGCATGGGGGTGAAAATGAAGGCTAATCATGTTTTGGGTGTACTATTCCTTTAAGACAAAGCTTTGAAGTTTCCAAACTCACGTCGGCATCACTGTTTATTGTTATGTGTGAATAACAAGAAACTACAAAAAATAAATCAGCCGTACCTCGGACACAATCTTTGGATTTAATGTTGTATTTGACACCTCTGCTTTTCAATGCTGTTTAAAAAAAAAGTTTCCAGGTCCTTGAAAATATGTTTCAAACTCACAAAGTGAAGGATTTTAAGGTTTCATAGGGGGAAAAAATCCTGAGCATTGTATCAAAATATCCCACTAGTTTACTGTGAATGACCCATCATTCCCCTGGTGGCTGCACTGGTAATTTAACTCTATCCCTTAAAGTGATAGGGACAGCTGAACTCAGAGGCAGGGGGACCCAATATTCGGCAACATGGTATATACACCGTGTGCAGAATTATTAGGCAAATTGGTTTTTTTAACATCATCCTTTTCATACATGTTGTCCTACTACAAGCTGTATGGGCTTAAAGTGGATCTCTGTAATTAGAAGGGGTGTGGCCTAATGACAACATCCTATATAAGGTGTGCTTAATTATTTGGCAACTTACTTTCCTTTGGCAAAATGAGTCATAAGAGAGTTGACAGACTGTGAAAAGTCATAAATTGTCAGATGTCTTTCAGAGGGGTGCAGCAGTTTGGAAATTGCCAAGACATTTTGAATTGAGAAAGCTTCCTGGAGGGGAAGTGAAACGTCTTCAACCTTTGGAAACTAAGTCCAGTGGATTGTTTTTTATACTTTTACAGAACAAGCTTTTGAAGCGGGATCATCACACAATCAAGCGGTTCATGGCAAATAGTCAACAGAGGCGCAAGAAGCGAGTTGAAAAAAGTAGACGCCAAAATAACTCCCCATGAATTGAGAAGAATCAAGTGTGAAGCTGCCAGGAAGCCATTAGCAGGGGCGTGCACACATAGACACTAGGTGGTG